TTTTTTTTTTTTTTTTTTTTTTTTTAACTCCAGAATTTCATCCAATTTTCACTATGTAGCCCAGGCTAGCCTAGAACTCACAGTAATCCTGCCTCTGCCTCCCAAGTGCAGGGATTACAAGCTTGAGCTACAACGCCTAGCCCATGTTTTTTGAGACAGGGTCTTAACAGTCCTCCTGTCTTGATCCCAAGTGCTGGGAATACAGGTGCATCATGCCTAAGATAATTTTGTTTTCATGTGTAGTTGGGGGTGTCTTAAGATAATAGAATTCCCAGGCTGGGTTTTTAGCTCTGGCACCATGCCTGCCTTGCAAATGCAACATCCTGAGTTCAATTCCTGGTACTGTAAAAAATAAAATAGAATTCACTAACAAATTAAACCACACTTGTGTTTTCTAAGCTTTGCCATGAACACCCTCCTCCCAAATGTTCTCAAGCTTTTAGCTCTACAGGAGGCCAAATAAAACCAGTTTATGTCATTAAGACAGTCTGACCTGCAAGACAGAGCAGAGGCATGGCTTTGCATACTCACATCCTGCAGGTCACCTTCTGGGCAGGGGCAGGGAGGGCTGGTGTGGAGGTAACAAACAGTGCTGCTCGTTCCAGAAGGGGCTGGTGAGGTAGGGACGAGAAGGGAAGGTGCAGAGTGCAGCCTGCAGAGGAGTAAAGCAGAGACTGGAAGGCTACCTGGAGAGGCACGGGTTCAGGATTGTCCTAGCTTGACCAGACCCAGACCCTGGTGTACCCTCCTTCCTCCCTCCCAGGACTGGACAGTCAGACTTTCCACCCACACCACCCATCCAAACCTTGATGCCTCCTCTAGTCTGAGTTGTGAATGGTCCCAAACATTTATTGAACAAATAGAAAATATGGTCACTGGAGCTCTGCACACATGGAAATGGCTCCTCTGGAAAGAAAGAATATTCTGTCCTCGTGGGCTTGAGTCCATTGAAAACCACAGGTAAGGCACATGGCTGGTGATGCTGTCAGAAGACGTGGTGCAGGGACTCCTCCTCCTTGGAACAGGGGTGAGTGGAAGGAAGGGGCTCCCGGGTGTCCTCCAGGGCACGAGGCCAGCCGTTCTCCACCAACCAGCTGCTGCTGGCACCCCAGCTCACACCTGAGGGATGGGGTAGGAGGCACAGGCAGCCAGGCCACACATGTTCTTCCCACGCTCAATGAGGAAGTACCTGAGCAAAGAGAAGTTTGGCGGTTGGTGTCCTCACAACAAAATGTTCTGGAATATTCTGTGCCCACTAAGTCCTGACTCCGGGGATTAAGAACCTCTAAATTTATTCACATAAAGGTAGCATTGGGCTTATTTTATCACCATGAGATGACAATAATTTATTTTTTCTTCTCCTTGGCTGCCAAATCATCTCACTTTTTCTATCTATCCCAACTCTCTCCAGGATTGTCTGACGCCTCCTCCTGATACCTGGCTAAGCCCCTAACATAGCCACTTAATCATGAATAGGACTCCCTAGTGACAATGACACTCTCCTTTTCAGATGAGGGCACAGAGTCTGAGAGGGAGACACACAGTCACATGAATATATGTACACACTCAACCTCCTGATTTCAGCCTTTTGCTCTACAGTCAGGGACACATGTATTGCCTTGACTTCTCATGCAGAACCATTACAGATTGGCTCAGTTCAGCAGGGTTCTGAGTTCTGAACTGTTTCCCAGGGGTGGTTATAGATCCTACTGAGCCAACTGCCCTCTTGTTCCCCCAGGAGGACCTAGGATCCTCAGAGGATGGAGGGTGCAACATCAGGATCTCCCCTGACCAGCTCCTCCTAGAAGCCATAATCAGATGAAGGAACAGCGCCCCCAGGCCTCCAGGCCCTGGTATCAGCCCGTAACCCAGCAAGGGACCTGAACTGCTTACCCATTCTTTCCCCACTCTGTGCCCCAGGAGTTTTTCACAATCCAGTAAGGTACCCCATGGTCTACTCCGTATCCGACAGCCAGTACCGCATGGTTCACTTTATCTGGAGTTTTATGACAGGAAGTACTAGAAATAAGATAAAAAGATGTTGATATGGGAAAGAAACATCCAGCCATGGAGGGCTTTGGAACCATGTGTCTCCCTGGGGGTGGCAGCAGATCGGTGCTGAAAAGCTGTCACTTTTGCTCTTGGTACTTTCAGTGCCCTGCTGGTGTGGGGAGTCACCGTGGTGCTGAGTGCCTCCACCCTCCCTGCAGAGGGGTGCCTCCTGCTACACACCTGCAGTCCATACTGCTGTGTTAGCCCCTGCATTCACTGTAAAGGTCACCTGTATTTATGGAAAATACGCAGGCTCTCCATGGAGGGGCAGTAAACTAGATTCCTGGAGAAAATCCCAGGAAGCCAGGAGGATATACTGCAGGGGTCATGTGTATTCTACCAACCTGGGCTCCGCGTGGGCGAGGTGCCAGGGGGTGCTTAGCGGGCCCCTCTCTCCTGACCTTGGGAAGGCTCTTTTGGCAGGGAACTGATGGGCAAAGTGCCACCTCTGTGCAGCAGGCTGGGGGCTGGGTAGCGGGAGGGCGTGGGAGCCCCAACCCAGTGGGGTGAGGGGCAGGGGACACCATGAGACCACAGACCCTTCCATGTGGTTGGGGTGCAGGCTGCAGGGTGGGACTGGAGGGGACAGGTAGGGGTCTGATGTAGAAGGGCGTGTTCGGGAAAGAAGGGGCCAGGTCACTAGGGTTTGAACAGCTGGCCCCAGGATTTGAACAGTGTGGCCGGAGGGGTGTCTCTGGAGGTGGGCTCTGGCTTCCCTCACGTAGCATCTTGGAGGTGACCCTGTTAACTGAGACAGGGACATGGCAAGTGAGGACGGAGTGGCGGAGAGGTGCAGGGCTGTTTCCAGGGCCATCCAGGCTGAGGTGGCAAGAGGCCTGGTGGACTTTGCAAGTTCTAGGCAAGCATACATCTGAGAAACATCTGAGAACTAGGAAGAGAGCTGAGCACAAGCCCTGGAGAGTGCTGGAGATGCTGGGGAGCAAGGGGGCCATGGCTAAGAGGTGTTGGAAAGAGGAACCCTGGGGCTTTCTTTTTTGTTGTTTTCTGAGACAGGGTCTCCCTACGTAGTTCAGGCTAGACGTGAACTCAAAGAGTAGCCCAGGCCGGTCTTGAACTCATGGCATTCTTCCTACCTCAGCCTCCTGACGGCTGAGATTAGGTATTCACTACCATGTCTGGCTGAGAAACCCTGTAATTAAGGATCCTGAGGAGGCTAGGTGTGACATACGCGAGGCACTGAGTCCTATCACCAGCAATGCAAAAAACAAAACAAAACAACACAACACAACAACAAAAAAAAAACCCCAGAACTAAAGACCTCTAACAGCTTAGGTTTTTTCCTAAATAACCTTCTGGTGAATCCTCCAGCACAGAAATCTGGTGTTTGGGAGCAGATGCTTTCTCTTCTTTGCTTCCCGTCTTCAAAGGTCTGAACACGAGTCTTAACTGAAGCAGTGCTAGCTGTGTGGCTAAGGCTTTGAGTCTTCCTGAACTCCTGTGCTGAGATGGAGACCGGTACCCACCCTCGTGGTTATGTGAGGAAGAACCAAGGGACACGTGGACTGCCTACCACAGCAGGAGCCACAGGGAGGTCTACACAGGAGTGGGCAGAGCCCAAGGCCCTGGTGCCAGCGTTGGGGCCCCCCAGCCTTCCCCTTCCACTGCTGCCTCCTGGGACCTGCTCACCTGGAGTAGATTCCACTTCTGTATGACATGAAGTCTTCGGTCACCTCGAACGCAAAGCTCACAGGGTTGTATAGGGCCACTGCCTCCACCATGGCCTCCTCATCATTCTGCGAGACAGACACACAAGGGCCTCTGTCACCTCCCATCCCACTTTCAAAATATGGCCCTGTGCCTCACAGTCTAGGTCCAAGATCCAGAGCAGTATAGATGACTGGTATTGAGCAAGAGCCCAGGGGCACTGCAAGGGGCTGCCTCTGCCCCGACTGGCCCTGGGCACTGCACTGACTGGCAGGTGGGCCTCACCTTCTCTGTGGTGCCCTATTCCTGTGGGTGAGATTTTGTTTAACAGTCCTTCCTTTCTCCCTTCGTGATGGGACCAGTCCGCCATCTCCTGTCTCCTCTCCACACCCTCACCCTGGCCTGTGGACTTACCCATTCGTTACCACAGTGGATACAGCAATCTGACCTGGGCCAGGGGCTCTGAGGTTGGGGGAGGGGTGTGACACTTCATTCCTGCTCCACTCTCAGCCTCCCCACACCCACAATACCAATTTGTGGAACTTTGTTGGTAGAAAAAGGTAGCTTATAAATCCACCAGCAGATAAGCCCCAGACAATGGGAGAAAGGGGAGAAGACCAGGCAGAGGCAGAGGCCCTCTGTGCCTTTCGCGTGCGACCTGCCCCTTGTCAGGGTACGGAGGGAATCTTGGCAGTTTCCTGGAGGCGGCAGCTGTGGAGTGGGGCTGCAGAGGCCAGTTGAGTAGCAAGTAGAACCACCTTTAAGAGTTGCCATGCCCAGCTGTACCCAGACCAGGCTCCGGTTAGGTAGGAGCATCTTTGTCAGGAACCACTGGGCCAGAGTGAGTAGATGAAGACCAGAGTGGGTGGGGCAGGAGGGTTGGGCCACCCAGGCTACCCACAGACTCCGGCAGCCCTGACGAGACTCCCTTGGAGACCCAGCAAGGACAAACTCTTCACATCTCAGTGGGTCACAGAGGCACAGGGTGCCCCTAACACCCTACAATGGCAGCACTCTCCAGGGATTGTGCTCAGCTCTCTTCGTAGTTCTCAGATGCTTCCCTAGAACTTCCAAAGCCCGCCAGGTCTCTGCCACCTCAGCCTGGATGGCCCTGGAAACCTCAGTCCTGCGCCTCTCTGCCACCCCATCCTTGCTTGCCACGTCCCTGTCTCGGTTGACAGGGTCACCTCCAGGCTGCTGCCTGCTCAGCCTCGGTGGCTGTGTTGGAGAAACTGGCTTTTTGCTAGTAGAGCATGTGTGCTGTCTGTGGTTAGGCAATGAGCCCTGGTTCTGGAATGACAAGATCTCAGTTCCAGTCCATCCTCCACATCCTAATTTCATGCCGTTGGGCACATTACTTAACCTCCCTGAGCCTGTTTCCTCTCCTATAAAATGAAGGTCATGACTGCACTCATCTCCTTGGGTTATTTTGATTTGCAAGACACTGCAGGTCAACTGGCTGGTTCACTCCTGTAAATACCCCATAAATTTAAACTGTTATTACTGCAGAGCGCGTGGCACAGGCTGCAATTAAACGGCAGTGCTCTCTACACAGATGGCGTATTTGTGACCTGTGTATGTGTTCCTGGGCAAACAGCCCTCACCTCCCTCTTTCATTGGCCCTTATCACACCTACACACACCGGTGGAGGAGTTCTCTCACTTCTTCCCCACTGCACACTCACACTGAAGTCATGAGGGCCACTCAGACACACTCAAGCCTGCTCGCTTGTTTAAAGGCAGGGACAACTGCAATCCCCAAGAGCCTGAGGTGAGGTATGACTGTGCAACTCTTCTTTTTTGAATTTACCACTCTTTCCCCCAGCCTGGGCTCTAGAGTAAGGCCTGCGACAGAAAACAGCCAGTGCTGCCCAGGCCATGGGCAGGCTGCAGGCTTAGATGTGCCCTTTGTTGAGAGCTCTCCAGATCTGGGTTGGCTGTGATGGTGGCAGGACCCAGCTCTTCCTGAGCAACACTCACTTACTCGCAGTCACATGTAGGCTCATGGCCTCTCCCAGTGTGGGGACCATGGCTCACACTTTACAGATAAAACAACCACACACATGAAGATGTGAACAGACAGGGTATGCAGATCCAGAGCATCTCCTGTCAGCATATTTTCCCTTTCACCTTCCCCTGCTGCCATCATGGCAAGTGAGTCAGTGGGAACACTGGCTCCTTAGTCACAGGCACCTGCTGCCAGGGCATCCCCATCAGAACACACCCCCTGCCCCAGCCCAGAGAAGGACCCAGGACTCACGAGCGTGATGTTCACAATGTCTTTGACAAATGCAATGGCCTTCTGGGGCTGGAACTTGCAATGACCATCCTGTTCAGGGCAGCAAAGGGTATGGGACACAGGTTAGAAACTCTCTGCCAAAGGCAAGAATCCAGTCCCTGTGCCATTGACAGCATGTGCTAAGTGGAAACTATGTGCACCTGGCCTTGGTGACAGGTCATTCTAGACAGAATCTGAGGCACCCTTTTCTTACAGAGCTCAGAGTCTGGGGCAAAGGACAGCCTTGGCAAACACAATGCTTGGTGGGAGACTGTGGAGGAGACTGACAGAAATGGAGCAGCAAGAGCCTGTGTGGCAGGAGGGCTCAGCCCAGGAGCAGTGACAACCAGAGGCAGATGCAGAGGTTACAGGACCAGAGGGAGGGCAGCCTGGTGTTTGGGAACCAGTGCATGGCTGGGCCTGAGAACAGGGTTATGAGGGGTCATGAATGGAGATGGGAGAAAGTCAGGTTCTGAGGAGCCTCCAGAGGACTCTGAGCAGGCAGGCCTAAGCCAAGGAAGGCCACCTCACTGTCACAGATGAAAGGAGGCCACAGACGGAGTGGGGGAGGCTGGCCCAGACTGGACCCCTGGGGGCTAACTCATTCTAGGGAGGCTGGAGCTGCTCTCACTGGTAGGGAAATGCAGAAGGGGCTACAGCCTTGGGAGAAAGTTGGTGGGCTTGGGCAGCATGGATGTGGGCTCTGGAGAGTGTCAGTCAGTGTCAGCCCTTTACATGAACAGGAGGGGATCAGGAGGAAACAGCAGGCTGGTGAGGGATCCTGAGGAGAGAGGGAACCAGGGCACAAAGGTGACAGAGGCCCCTGGTGGGAGAGGGACTCAGGAGGGTGGACAAAGCACAGAGATGGCTTTAGGAGGAGGAAGAGTACAGATGATTTTTAGCAGGCCTATTGCGTGCCTGGAACCTAGCTTCTTGGAAGGCAGAGACTGAAGGATCGAAAACCCAAGGCGAGCCCAGTGCAACTTAGTGAGACTGTTTCAAAATAAAATAAATGTTGTTGCTCAGTAATAGAGCACTTTCCCTATCATGCATGAGGCTCTGGGTTCAATCTCTAGCATTGTCAAGAGAAAAGAAGTGCAGATAATTCTGAATACCAGCAGGATGGGGCACACGGCAGTGGGCGAAGGCTATTGTGATGCCCTGGGTTCAGTGGAGAGGAGGCAGTGGAGGCTCACAGATTACCTTGCCCTTGTAGGGGTAGGTGTCTTCGCCCATGATGCCCTTGTTGTACAGGATGTATTCAAAGGCCTGGCTGGGGAGACCCCTGTGAAAAGGGGGAGCACACATGAGTCCCTGGGACAGCTCAGCAGGCAGAGGTGTGTCCCAGGGGTGGAGCTTGAATGGTGTTTGCTGTAGCTTGGCCTACTCGGTCTTGTGGGTCTCAGGTCAGCTGTGCTGCCTTGTTGGCCGGGGAAGCCACACACACTTTGATGGGACACAGACCCCTGGACACCAGGCCCTGTAGTGAGTCCCTCAGGGGGCCAACAGGATGGGCCTTGCAACAGGACAGTCATGGACGTGAAGGCCTGGCCCCCAGAGCTGTGCCACGTGGGACTTGCTGCTACTTCCTGAGGCTCAAGGGGCTGAACTCTTTGCCCAGGTCTATGGGGCTGAAGTCAGGCTCTAGTGCCAAAGGTGTTTTTTCAAGCGTCATGAAGTCACCTAAAGTACAAACACCCACTGCCCAACCAGCCACTCCCTACCATGTTCTCTCCATGCTGTGTCACCACCTGACTTATGACATGCTTGACATTAGCCCTGAGTTCTGCCTGGGTTCACAGGAGTGAAGCAGTGCTGGACTACAGGGTCCACCTTTTGCTATGAGTGTTGTAAAGCTTCCCAGAGGAAAGAGACCCACGGTAGAAAAAGAGCAGGGGAAAATGTGTCTGTAGTAGCAGACACCCCTGAACCCTAGCATGTGGCCAGCGCAGCTCTCTGCAAGGCTCTATTGTTTGCTGCTTCTTCCCCTAGAGGAAGAAGAACCAGGGCAGGGCCTGGACCAGAGAGGCTGGAGGGGAACTGAGTGCGGGATGCCAAGGGCCTGGCTCTATGGGCTTATGTGCCAGGGAAGCTGACCAGACTCACAGAAATGTCTCAAAGCATAGCACCTGAGGAGAAATGGGAAGGAATCCCCAACAACCCAATGTAAGAGTGGGCCACCACATGCACCCATACCACACTGGCAAAGCTCCCTCTTGGGGCCAGCAAGCTGGGGCAGCTGGCACTAGAGACCGAGTCCAAAGGCCAAAGATGAGCCTTGTTCTCTCCCCTTTGGTGTCTGTCATGCCCTGAAGTGTTTCTTGTGCTGTCAGTACTACTGGCCACTCTCCCAGGGGCCCTGCTGCACTGTGAGGTGCAGGCAAGGCGTGGACTTTAGGACCAGACAGGTCTGGGCCCCAACGCCTACACTGCCCCATGCTGGCTGAAACTCTCCACAGAGGGAGTCTACCTTGCTCCACCCAAGTGGGGGGAGTGAGTTACGAATGTGACAGCAATCAGAGGGAGAGAAGAGGTTCCGGCTTCTCCCGGGACAGGGTGGGGACATACCCCTGGCAGCCATGATTGTTGAAGTTCTGGGCGCAGTCCACCAGCTGCTGCTCTGCCTGCAGGAAGAAGCACAGACCCAGTGGATGGGGCCACAGCCACGACCTCCCTGCCTCTGGCCCAACTGGCACTGTGTCAAAATTCTCAGATGATGAGCTCCCCAGGGCAGGGACATCTTTGTGTTATGAAGTGCCAGCCAGCAGGCTGCAGGGGCAGTGGAAGGGCATGCGTGGGAACAGGGCAAGGATCACAGGGGCTCTTGGTGTGTGCCAGGAGGAGGGGACAGGTCCGTCCAGAGACCCTGACCACCCCTCCTCAACATGGGGTCTCCCAGCCTTGCCGGCTGCCCTCCCCTCTTCCCACAGAGCTGGCATAGCTCCTCGAGCCTCTTGCGGGTCCTGGCTCTTCCCTCCAGGAAAGTAACCCACATAGCTTGGGAAGGAGTGCAACTCCTAGAGGGCTGGCTGTCTCTCAGTGGGCTCTGCTTTCCGAGCCCCTGCTTGGTGAAGGCCCTGGCTGCCCAACTGAGGAACCTGAGGACCACCAGATCTACCCAGAAAGGCGAGTCCACAGGCTGGCTCTCAAAGAGCCTTGTTCTTGGGTGGGGATGTAGCTCAGTGGAGAGCATTTGCCTGGCATATGTGAGGCCCTGGGAAAGGTATGGGCTGAGATTCCATCTGATAGCTAGCCCAACAGCAAGGTTCACTAACACCCTGGGGGAGGCCTCTTACCAGAGATAGCATTTTCCCACTAGCGATGGCCACGGCTGACTCCAGGGCCCCTGTGGTGGAGAAGGTCCAGCAACTGCCGCAGGCACCCTAGAGAGGTCACAGAGAGAGGAAGTCAGCCACTGGCCACCATGAGGGGCCCCAATTCTGGCCCCTACACTTACTCTAGGGCCCTCCCTGGTGTCTCTGCAGTGGCTCCATCCACTCTGAGAGGCAGGTGTGCTACCAATGTCCCAATCCAGGCCTTGGAGGAACAGCTGTGACTAGCGCCAAGGGCTCCCAATCGTGCCTCCTGTTGGCCAATCCTACCATCCTACAAAGACTGGGCTCTCCTGACTCCACTCTGTGGTCTCCTTCCTGGGTTTCCTACTTCTGTACCGTTTGCTGGCTCCTCTTCTATTCACAGTTTTCTAGCAGAAGGTGTCATCAAGGGTGTTTCTAGAAACTTCTCTGACCTTTCCATCACCAGTCTCATTCTATCCAGACCCCAGCTTGAGCCTCAGCCCTGACTTTCATCCGAGCCTAGACATTAAACTGACTTACTTCCAGAATAGCCCACCAGACACCCCTGACCTTGGGCTCAGGGTCCCACCTCTCCACTCCTCCTACCATCTTCTGCCTCAGTCATTGCTGCCCGGCCTCCAGGATTACACAGGGTCAGGCACTGGGCACTGGAACAGCCTCCCTGGTTGCAGCTCTGCACACTAAGTGTGTGACCCAGGCAGGGCCAGCTTCCTCCTCTGTAGATGGGAAGGTTTTGGGTTAAGCAGCTATCCAGTAATGGGTCCAATAATGTCACTCATCTGTCTCTTTTCCTCTCCTTGCTTGTTCTGGCTTCCATATTCTGCTTATGAAATGTCTCTTAACTTTCCTCTTCCTCCATCCATGTCATGGCCCATATTTGTCCTCCCAGATTGGCTCCCTGGAAAGATCCTTCGCAGCAGCTCCTCTTTGTCTCTTCCTCTCAAACTCTCTCCTCAGTAGGGAGGGCAGAGCTGAGTGGAGCTTCAGAGAGGCGGCTCAGGCACAGTGAGGTAAACTCCGCTAGCTGCAGGAGGCACAGCAGGGCCTGGACTTGGAGCAGAGCCTGGTGCTGGTCCGGTCACCTGCTGCTCATCTTGGACCCTCACAGTCCCCCTCTGTGAAGTCATACACCACACACTCAGCACACAGTTAACACACCTCATGCCTCTACCTCCAAGAGCGATGCCCTGTTCGGTTGTGTCTGGTGGCCTGAGATTTGTTAATGGGAGGACTCGGGACACTTGCCAGACCTCCTCTGCCTCCCTGGCCTAGTACTGAGATCCTCAGAGGCTCTACAATCTGTTCACTAGAAGGGGCCTTCTTTCTCCCAAATTTTCTGTTGTGGGGAGCTGGTTCAAACACCCAGGCACAGGGCCTGCTCCAGCACACAGGGGGTCTGGCAGAACTTGGAGCTGCACCCTATGACTTTTAAAAAGTAACAACAACAACAACAACGTTTCCCATGGAAAGTTTCTATGGCAAGCAAAGTATGTCCAGGAAGGAAACTTAACCTTAAGCTTAACCTTGTCTTACTGTGACTGAGAGGTCAGCATTTTTCTGAAAAGGCCACAGCACACAGCACAGCCACTTGGAGGGAAAGTGTGTGTGTGTGTGTGTGTGTGTGTGTGTGTGTGTGTGTGTGTCTTGCCTTTTTGCCCTGAAAGGGTTCTCTGCCCACAGAGAGGCCACCTCCACTATGCCTGGCCCATGCCTATGGGCAACGCTGGGTTTTGCTGAGCTCACAGACCACCTGGACTCACTCAAGAGAAGCAGGTGGCCAGGGGTGGCTCTGGCCTGCTGCCTGAAAAGTGAATGGGGACAGGGAAATGTCAGGCTTGGGTAGTAGGATGGGGTCCTGGCAGGAGAGTGGATCAGCAGGGGAGAACTAGAAGTCAGAGAGAAAGATACTCAGGGTATGTGGTGCTGGCCAGGGAAAGGAATAAACTTTAGCCCCGTAAGAGGCACATTTCATGGGTTCACAAAGCATTGAGCTCCTGGCCTTGCAGAGGAAGAGATGGAGAGTCAGGGAGGGAACAGCAGCGCGAGGGACACAGCTGCAGTGCTGTTGTGGTTCTTACAGGTTTCTGGCCTGGTCTATTGTCTGACAATGTGGCTAATTTTTGGGGAAAGGCTAGAGATGACCACACGTACCTGATTTTTCACTGCTGAGACAAAATTTCCTTTTTTACGCCAGTCCACAGAAGTTGGGTAGGGACCACTACCCCGAAAGTAGTTACTTTTGGTGGCTGAGCAATTCTGGAACAATCAAATATATAATTTTTTTGGGGAAAAAAAACAAAAACAAAAACCCTAAAACAACTCTCCTCCACTGCTTTTTGGCCAAAAGATATGGAATCACCAAGAGTAAATGAGAAAAACTATTGACAGGCAGGTACCAAAACAACTGCTGCACAGTCTATAGGGCCAAATGCTTCAGGACCCAGACTGGAAGATTTAGAAAAGGGTAGCCAGATTCACCCAATAAAAGTATCATCCTCCTCACTAAATTTGAATTTCAGGTAATGTAAATACATCTTGTGCAATATAGTACAGTTATGTTAAAAATTATGTTGTTTATCTGAAATTCAACTTTGATGGGGTATCTGTTTTATCTGGTAACCTACATCAGGGGTTAAAATGCTGAGGCCCAGGGCCCAGACGGAGGCCACAGTGAGACAGCCCTCTCCCTTCCCTGAAGAGTTGGGGACACACATCTACGGCCTTCAAAGTTATTGCAAAGCTCTCAGTGAAAAGATCAAACTACACCTACCTGGGGCTCTGACCAAAGATATTTGCGTTTTATTTCAGCAAAGCTCATGTCTGAAAATTGATTCAGTGCCACTGAAAAAGAGAAGAGGGGGAGAAAACAGAAATTTAGTGAGTAAAACTTGTGTTCTATTATAGCCCCTGCAACTTGGCTCCATTATATTTATTTATTTATTTATTGTTTTGGTTTTTTTGAGACAGGGTCTCACTGTGTAGTTGATACTGACCTGGAACTCACTATGTAGGTGAGACCCAGGCTGATCTTGAACTCACAGGGATCCTCCTGCCTCCGCCTCCCAAGTGCTGGGATTACAGGCGCGTGCTACCACACCCGGCTCTCCATTATATTTTTAAATGTAATTTTACTCCACATACCAGGGCAAACCTTTCTGTGCTTCAGAGTTGCCTAGGAGGGTTTTCAATGCTACAGATGTTGGGGCTGCACCCAGAGAGGCCAACAGATGCAGCTGGTCTAGGTGGGGCCTGGCAGGAAAGGGGCAGGGGCTTCTCTAGAGCGTCTCATCCATGTCACAACCACCCAAAGGGGTTCCAGCATCATCCCATTTACAACCCTGCACCCCCAAAATTTTAACAGCAGAGCCAAATCCAGGGTCAGCCAAGCATACCTCAGAGTCCTGGCCTCTGCTCCATACCCATAAGCTTCGAGCATCCCCCTTCTTTCCAGACCTGAGCTGCTCCCGCCCCTCTGCCCAGGCAGCCTGGAAGAACTGTGTCTCCACGTACTTTTAAACGTGTGGTTCCTCTTGTTGTGGGCAGTGACCTTTCTCCAGTTGCTGGCAAATATCTGCTGCCGGTGGTGGTACTCCTCTGTGCTGTATTCCTTTTGATGCTAAAACAAAACACATGGGCAACAGATTATGGAAACAGGATGCAGCTCACTGGGGAGAAAGCCCTTTGTTTTCTGGGAGGAGATGGCGGGTGCTCAGGGCCCCAGGGCCAGCTGCCTGAAAAGGAGGTCTTGTGAAGAAACCTGCCTTTTGCAGATCCTCAGAGGTCAGGGCGGGGCCAGACCACCTGTACGAAAAATGATCACCTTCCAAAGATGCCCACAAAGGTGTTGCCACAATGCAAGGTACTTTGAATATAAAACACAGAAGGAAGTCACAGAGTCGCAGCCATCTGTTGGGACCACTGTTTGGAATGAGTTTTTTTTTTTTTTTTTGGTGCTGGAGATTAAACTGTGGTCCTTGTGCTTGCCAGGCAGAAGGCAGAACAACTGAGCTAAGTCCCTGGCTCTGGAATGAGTTTTATTGAACTGTATTTTTCCTAAGGTTTGGCGAGTTTGAAGCCGGGAAAGACCTGGGGTAGGTCAAGGCTGGAAAATCCCTCTTTATTGTCTCAAATCTGGTACAGTTTGGTTGTGTAACAGGAAACTTTGCGAAATGAAAAACCTCAGAAAGCAGAAGTAGGGCACTGACCTGTACCATCCATGACTTAAAGTGAAACTTCTCTGTGAAAAGGAAAAAAAAAAAAAATTAGATCTGGGCAAGTCTCAGTAAAGCTAAGTTTTCAATCCAGTAAGACAGTTTAGAGCTGATTTGCATTTTAGAAAACTAGGCTAAATTTAAAACATCAAAGATATTACCTAAGGCTTAGCTCAAAAAAAAGAACTCAAATTCTTTCTGTTTTAGTATCCCACACTAATTCTGAAAAACTACCTTTTTTAGTTTGGTGCTGGTGATTGAACCCAGGCTTCCAGCATTCTAAACATGTCTCTACCATTAAATTGCACCCCCAAACCCCATAATATACTTTTTAGCTATGGCATCGTAAGTCAGTATAGCAGTTATCCTCAGTAGGGACACAGGACTTCTGGAAATGTTCTGATTCAGTGAGGTGCTGGTTCTACAAATGTGCTTCCATTGTGAAAATGTATTAAAGTACATACTTTACGATACCTCAATAAGGACTTCATTAAAAAGCTACAGATACTGGAAGCAAAGGGTCTGGAAACTGCTTCCCTGAACACTGTGCTCAGCTCATTGCTGTACAGCACTCAGGTTTCTCTCTGGTCCCAATCTGCTCTAGAAGCTTAATTCTGACCATTTTCCTGGGAAGAAATTGCTCAATTCCCTTCTTGCATGTCGAAAGGGAGGCTTCAGGGAACTCCCAAGTCCACAGCGGAGCTTCTGAGAAGACAGATCTCAGTCAGGACCACAGTATACAGTAGGACCTGGATCTACGCTCTGGGGTTTCCAAAGCAACAGACAACTCTGAAAACCCCAGTAAGGGCTACTTCTCAGCGGAAGGAAAAGCAGAGCACCTGGGAGCAGGGCCAAAATTCTCCTTGGGTCTCGTGATTCACTCTCACAGAACCACCCCAGCCCATCCCCACCCCTGGCATTCTGGTGTTTGACACAGGGTCTTGCTCCATAGCCCAGGCTGGCTTTGAACTCTATGCTTCTTTGAAGGGTCCACAGCAGAACTGAGGAAGCCACAGCCCTGGCCTCCTCTTGTCCTGCCCAGGAGCTTAAACGACTTTTTACATTTTTAACTGGTTGGGGGCCAGAAGAGTAGTAATATTTTGTAGCACCTGAAGATCATTTGAAATTTAAACTTCAGCATCCGTAAATAATGTTTATTCATACACAGCAGGGCTCACTCATTTACAGACAATCTACAGGTGCCCCACAACAGCAGGCAGAGTCAGAGACTGAGGCAGGGACCAAGTGGCCCACAAAGGTACAGTAGCTGCTAGCTGGCTCAGCTGGCTGAGAGTACGGGCAGCGATCTGCATTAGTCCTCACCAAGCACTGCTGGGCTTCCCCAACGCCCCTGAGGGCAACAGGCTGGCAGCTGGGAGGAATGAGACAAGAACCAGCCTCTGTGACCTTTGCCCATTCCCAGGTTGGTCCTGGGCTTCTTCTCTCCAGTCCTGGGTGCCCAGTGCCTGTAGTCTTGCAGGACTAAAGCTGAGGCCAGGGCAGCAGAGCAAGAGGGGACAGCAGGGGAAGAGGGGGCAGCCACAAGCGACCTGACCTGGGAGCCGGCAGGCTCAGACTGCTATGGCCCTGGAGTCATGGCCCCCATCACAGCCCATCTGACCCACTCTACAGCACTGTGGGCACTGGGGGACCTCTTGCCCAGGCCCACAGCCTGGGATAGAAGAGGTGGCCGGCTCTGGAAGGGGCTGATCAGAGTCACCAATTCCCTGGCTGCCCCAGTGGGGACAGAGGGCTGAGGGGCCACGCTGCCAGGCACGAAACACCCCGCCCTGGGTCCCTCGTCCTCGCTCCGGTCTCCCTGGTTCCCTGTCCCGGTCTCCCGTCTTCGTGTCCCCTCACCCCCGTACCTAAAGTGCTCAGCGGCAGCGCGGCGGCGGCGCGGCCCGGGGACACCAACAGCCAGGCGGCAGCGCAGAGTAGAGACAGCTCGGGCCTCATCGCGGC